CTCAATACCCGCACATAGATCTTCATATTGCTGTCAAATCGGGCAGTCGTGTTGTGTTTTTGTCGGACACGACATGACACGACAAGGTTTTGTATAACACAAACACAACACGACACAATGTCGTGTTTTTTTCATTACTACGAAAACGAACCAATTAAAACACAACAACACGACACGACACGACAAAGATAATATTACGTAACTATTAATGTATTTCATTCATACTTAAAGATATATAACACGATAAAAATGACAAACACGAAAAACCTGACAACCACATGCTTAATCGTGTCAATTTCGTGTCAATTTATGAACACAAACACGACACAACACGACATCGTGTTTTTTTAATCTTGACACGAACACGACACGAACACAAATTCAAATTTTGATTTCGTCCCAATTTTGTTTCATTTCGTGTATTTTTGTCGTTTCGTGTCATAAATTGACACCCCTATACGACAGATACAAAGTCTGCAGCATGAATGGAACGCCTCACATGTCCTTCATCCAATCTAGACCACTCTCAAAACCTTAAGCATGTCTGGACAACCTCTCTGGGCCTTCGGCCTTTCTGGACCATTCTCCGAGCCTTCGGCCTGATTGGTATGCCCTACCGGTCTTCAGTCTATCCAGACCGCTCTAAATTATTGAGCATCACCCTGGGTCACCCCCTCCTGGTGATCTTTCTCCCATGCAGCCCGTTCTCACCTACTTGGGGATTCGAACTCCTGGTCCATTCTGCGGACCATAACTCGGTCTAACCCTAGGCATCATTTCGATCGTCCACTCACTTGGAAATTCATGGTCCAATCCCTGACCCACGCATCTACCACATGCGCTAAGCAACCCGCATACCTGTGCTGAAAGTACTGTCTAACCCCGACAACTATCAGAACCCTCAATGACCAATGCTCCATTTGAGAATTTCCAATTCTCCTCCACTTGGGACACTAGCTACTACCTGTTGGCGGCGAAACCAACACAACTTAACCATCCCTACTAGGTATCATCATCCTTAACTATTGATCGATTAACCCTGGAGTGAACATCCTCTGCAGAATAACCCTTCCATCATGGTGTAACCGAATTTTAAAAGAAATCCAAATCCCAACTAAACAGTTATGTATCTCCGATTCACAACTACTAGTCCTGGAACAGAGATCCTAAATCCTAACTTATGATCACCAACACCTCTGGATATTAACCGTCTACAACCCCTTGATACTAGTTTCCTCAAACTCTCTTATGTCATATGTAGAAAGGGCTGGAAAATTCACAATATAATCATAAACAATAATATAAAAGATAGAAACATACCAGCAGCTGCATTTGGCACTATCCTGACCTCCTCTATTGTAAGCTGGAAGGCACGTCCCTGAGCCCTCGGAGGCTCTGCTCCACCTAGACCCCTACCAGTAATCCTCAATGTAGTTGGTGCTAGAGCCTGCACTGGTCTTGCAACAAGCTGTGGACAGTTAGTCTTCACGTGACCCACCTGATGGTAGTGATAACAGATCCTCATGTCATGAACCGAGGCCATCTAGTGACAATCCCTCGCATAATGCTCATCCTTTCCGCACATGCGGCACGCACCAACGGACCTACAAACTCTGGAATGACCCTTCTCACATGTGCGGACCTTGTGGCCTCCAACCCTATAATCAGCGGTCTTGGACCGCTTTGGTGTTGGCTGCAACTGTACCAGGGCCTACCTCGACTCTCGCAACTGTAACTCAATCTCGAGCGCATGACGCCTAGCGGCCTCCTGTATGTCCAGCAACGTATCACATAGCTGGGTAGCAACAAACTGTCTAATGTCAGTCTTGAGCATGCTCAGATAACGCATCCTCTGAGCCTGCTCGGAAGCAAACTTCAGGCAGAACATCGCCCTCTCAATGAACATACGGATGATCTCCATCACCGACTCCGTACCATGTCTCAACTCCAAAAACTCCTAAGCTAGCCGCTCACGCTCGACTCGTGGAATGTAGCGGAAGCAAAACATCTCCCTAAACCGATCCCAAGAAACTGCAGCTCTCTGCTCATCCGAATAAGACCCCGTCATCAACCTCCACCAGTCCTTCGCCTCGGACCTCAACATGTTCAGGGCACAGTTGAACTTCTAGTCAATCGGGCAGGAACATGTGAAAAACCACCCCTCAATGTCCGATAGCCACCTCATGGCTATGATAGGGTCTTGAATCTTATCAAAAGTCGGGGACTTCGTATTGTCGAAGTCCTGATACTGGAAGCCCGGACCAGCTCCTCCCCTGCCGATGTTGCGGCTGCGCCAGCCGTCTCAGCTAAGGCTGTGTATCTGTCATCAATAGGGATGACAATTTGACCCAACCCGGTGGGGAACCCGGTTCACCCGCCCCGATTGGGGATGGGTATTCCCCACAAAAGTGGGTATCGGGTATGGGGCTGGGGATCTCCGTTAGGCTAAAATCGAGGAAGGAGTCAGGGCTGGATATACCAATCCCCAACCCGCCCTGCCCCCGCTTTGATAACATTATATATATATATATATATATATATATATATATATATATATATATATATATATAATTTTTGATAATCGATCAAATAAACTTAATATAAGCCCATTACACATTCAAAAAGTTAATATACTGTACCTGTCCAATACTCCAATATGACAATTATCATTTACCAAATTTCTAATTCCAATATTATTCCAAGAGTCTACCTGTCGCTGTGAATAGGTCTTCGAAGCTTCATTCCTTGTTCCAACTTCCAAGAATACGTACGTCAATCTATTTTTTTCTCGTCAATATGTATTTTTTTGTGTGTTTTAGTTATGGTTTTCTTGTTTAACGAATAACTTAATGGGTTCTCTATCGTTTTGTTTACTAATAATATGTTCTTTGATTCCCTAATTTAAACGTGAACTATATTTTTTTTCGTCGGTATGTATTTTTGTGTGTGTGTTTAATTGTGGTCTTCTTGTTTAAGTAATGACTTAATGGGTTCTCTATCGTTTTGTTTACTAATAATTATGTGCTTTGTTTCCCTAATTCAAATGTGAACTATAATCACTAATTTAATTACGTTACAGTAGTATAAATCATAAGTTGTTTAAACTCTTGCTAAGTTAATTATGCTAGATAATTTAAAATAATGTTATAAAGATTGTTAATGCATGTGAGTAATCAAAATCTAATATTCATACATATTGTTCTTTTTTTTTTTTTTTTTTTTTTATCTAAGTGATAACCCTGTATTTTTTTTATTTGGCAAAGTGATACAAAATGTATGTGTTTTTTGTAGGTTCACATGACCACTTCTGATATTGATAAACCACCAACCATGAGTGAAGAACAAGAAGAAGATAATGAACAAGAACCTGTAGAAAATAATACGACGACTAAGCATCCCAAAAAGAGGTTGAAATCCACTGCTTAGAACCATTTTGATCCGGTTTTTGTTGGCGGTGTTTGTAGATGGGCGAAGTGCATGCATTGCAATAAACAATTGACCGGAAGATCTAATGATGGAACAACACATTTGAAAGATCATTACACGATATGCCCTAGGAAAAATACAAGGGACATTCGGCAACATATATTAGTTCAAGGGCAAAAAACCACCGATGGTAAAGCTTATATGAGTAAATATGCCTTTAACGCTGAAGTATCTAGAGATGAACTAGCAAAGATGATTATAATTCATGATTATCTGCTCTCCATTGTTGAGCATTATGGTTTTCGAAAGTATACAAAAAGTCTTCAACCTTTGTTTAAGGTGCCTTGTCGTAATATAGTCAAGGGGGATATAATGAAGGTATAAGAGGAAAAAAAATATCATATTTTAAAATATTTTGAAGAGAACAATAGCAGGATTGCTCTTACGTCTGATATGTGGACAACAAGTAACCAAAAGAAAGGTTACATGGCGATCACAACACATTATATAGATTGCAACTGGAAGTTACAGAATCAAATTATGAGGTATTTACTCTAATTAGTGTTATTATTTGTAATTTATATTGGATGAAGTTTTGAAATGTTATATTTTGTTTAATGCAGCTTTATACATGTGCCATCTCCACACATTGTTGATGCATTGTCACAAGCTATGATGGAATGCTTCTTGGAGTGGAACATTGACAACAAGTTGTCAACATTAACACTTGACAATTGTTCAACAAATGATGTCATCATTGACAAGCTTTTAGGTACACTTACTACTTCATCGCTAGTTTTAAAGGGGAGAATATTGCATATGCGATGTTGTGCACACATAATTAATCTTATTGTGCAAGATGGATTTTCTGTGAGTGCAATTGATAATGTTAGGAATAGTGTCTCATTTTGGACAAATTCTCCTAATAGAATACAAGATTTTAGACTTTTTGCTCGTCAAGTAGCTGTTAATTTCCAAAAGGAGTTACTTCTTGATTGCAAAACAAGGTAGAATTCCATTTATATGATGTTGAGTGTTGCTTTGGAATATAGAGAAGTTTTTATTCGTTTGATCAAAAAGGATAAACATTATGTTTGCTTGCCTAGTGAAGATGAATGGAATAGGGCATCAATTGTTTGTGAAAAATTAAAATTGTTCTTTCAAGTGACTGAAAGATTTTCTGATTCCAAATATCCCACATCAAACATTTTCTTCCCTTTGATTTGTGACATGAAACTATCGTTATTGAGTTGGAAAGTATCTCAGAATAATGCTATTAAGTCTATGGCATCAACTATGTTGATCAAAGTTGAGAAGTATTGGAATGTAATACATAATGTTATGAGTGTAGCAGTTGTCTTGGATTCCATGTATAAGTTAAAGTTGATCAATTATTTCTTTCCAAAGCTATATAGGGAAGAAGAAAGAAGTGAGATTATGAAAATATGTAACATAATTACTGAGTTATCTGAAGAGTATAAAAAGAAACATTATGAAAAACAAGGAACTTTTTGGAAACGACAATGTACAACAAACATCTCTGAGGGAGGGGGTTCTACTTTAAACAAATCAACATGGGAGTGGATTTCGAGAATCTGCTTTCTGAGGATGATGGATTTGAAAAAACTGAGTTGGATGATTATTTAGTTGAGAAGTTGTTGCCGAATGAGAAAGTTTTGACATTAATGTGGTGGAAGTGCAATGGTTCTAAGTTTTCGATATTACAGAAGATTGCTAGAGACGTCTTAGCCATTCCAATTTCTACAGTTGCTTCAGAATCAGCTTTTAGCATTAGTGGGAATAAGGTGACAAAAGCAACGTAACCAACTCAAACCGGAAACAATCGGGGCATTAATGTGTAGCCAAAGTTGGTTACGGAAGGAGTTTCAAGGTAAATTTTTAATAAATATATCAATTGTTATATCATACATTTGTAAAAATATTATTTTTTTTCTAAAAATAAGTTTTATATGTTTCAGGTAAAATGCAAGGAGAACCAAAAGCTTTTGATCAGACGGTTGCATATGATGATGATGTTGAGTAATTTTTCAAACAAACAAAATGAACCAAAGACTTGAAATTCCTTTTGTGTAATCATGTCCTTGTTTTGATGGTTAAACTTTATGATTGATTTAAACACTATTTAATTATGACATCTAGTTTTGATAGCTTACTAAACTTGAAATTATTTTTTGTGTAATTTAATTTATTATGTTGCTAGAATGTGGATGGACCATGGATGGGCCGGGGATAAGCCCAAAATCTAATGGGGAGGGGATTAGATTCCCTGCATCCGTTAGGGATGGGGATGAAGTTATGGACTCAGGGACGGGGACTGGGATAGTAAACCCCTCCCCATCCCCGACCCGTTGCCATCCCTAGTCATCAAAATACTCCATCATAGCGGTCTTGATAGACCCAATCAGCTCCAAAATCTGACTTCAGACCATCTCAACCACCTCCTCGCGGATGATCTCCCTGACTCGATCCTCTGTCAATGTTGGTCCATCCTAACTGATGACCTTGGGTGCTGCCGGGCACCCTGATTGTCCTGCCATGTTCCTGATCCGGATCCCATCACAAAATGCCTCGTAACCACCATACAGAAAATATAACAGAAAATATCAGACAACTCGAACAAACAACGGGGAATCTAACCCCAACCACACCGTAGGGGTTATGACTTCTTTGCTACGCGTATCGGTCCTATGCTTTCAGTAGTACAGGCCCATACTACCTTCCATACCTACCCATATTTGTCTCAAGTATCATCACAACACCCTAACAAAATACATAAACATAGCGAGCGCTCAATCCTCACTCCTAGAGGAATGCGAAATATCTCTTGACTGGCCTCTCGGCCTCACACAACCCACTCATGAAATTTCCACCAAACCTGCAACACTATTGTATGCTATCCGTACATAACACTGGACCCTATAGACTTTCGAATATCCAATTCTACCCTAAGCCCCCAATCAGACAAGAACAGAACATAAGGCCAAATCAAACATTCTCAGCCTATAAGATCTTAATTATGAATAATCGTGATGCATACCCAAAACAACTACAATAATGATTTCAATCTCATATAAGGAAAACCCTAGGCTAGCAGGCATCATGTAATCATGCAATTCCTGAAGATCCATAGTCTAGTACTAGCATGCTGTTCTAACATATCACATAGTCAAATAACAACATGGTATTTTGGGGTTTACTTACTGGCTCCGACTGATCATACACTTCGCATCCTCCTTTCATATTTTGAAAACCATTTAAAATCCTTTAAAAACATTTTCCTTAGTTTGAGGCTGGATTCACACAAATGTTCCTCTAATTCACTCAAACCAAGGCTCTGATACCAACTTGTAACATCCATAAAATTCATGCCAAATTTAAGATTTTTAAAACATTTCAAATACTCAAAATTATTACAAAAAGGTTTTCAAAATAGTTAATATCAGAGTATCCCAGAAATCTAGATCAAAATACGAGGAAGTGTACTATCACGCCTTAGCCTTCCCATGATCATCAGATGTACCGGAAACAAAATCAACAACTGTAAGCCTAAAGCTTAGTGATTTTCCCCCCAAAATACAAACACCATACAATCATCATCATACAAATGAATAAACCGAATAGCCATGCATCTCGAGTCTATGGTGTGACTGGTCCGCCCACATCAGGCCTTCAGTCCACTTGGTCCACTCTCTGAGTCTACAGTCTGACTGGACCACCCGCATCGAGCCTTCAGTCTATCTGGCCCACTCTCTGAGGCTCGGCATGTCTGGACTACCCTCTTGGGGCCTTTAGCCTATCCGGACTACTTGTTGGGCCTTCGGCCTGACTATGTGCCCTCTTGGGTCTGCACTCTATCTGGTCCGCCCATGGAATGTTGCGCTACTGCACAAAGTAGGACCCGCCTCAAACCAACCCTAATCAAACAACCATGCACACATATAACAGATAATCACATAACAGTCCATAAACAAACAAACTAATCTAGTAGATCATATAGCATAGCAACATCCTAACCAGGATACCGACCTAACCGGTTACTAACATAGTATCATTCTATATACCAGGATACCGACCTAAACTAGGTCACTAAACATAATATTGTCCTAATTACCAGGATGTCCATCTAACAGATCAATAAGCATATCAAACAAACACCATTATACAATCCAAGAAAGGGCTAGCCTTGGTGGCTTAGGCCCTGTTGATATAGTGAGGATAACTCACCTCACAATGCCGACCTGAACTAAAGTATCAACTCCCGAATCGCTATCTCACCGGAAAATCTCGAACCATCACATTATAAATACCAAGTAATTACACAACATAACAACATAAGAGCCTTGGCTAAGGGTCCTATATATTGAACTCACTGTGAAATAACTAGGGATTAATTTGGGCAATGTTTCGACTCTAAATATGACTTTTTGTGATGAAATCGGGGATTTTAGTTGAAAATCGGGCTTACTCGGGTAGAATTTCGGCTAGAAAATGTGATTTTCTTGAGAACTTCGGAGCGTCCGAACTTGCTTCGGGTGTTGGGGATGATACTGGGACTTTGGGGGGTTAAAAGTAGGCTAAAAGGGAGTATATATTGAGAGAGAAAAGAAAAGTATCAACCATTTCCGGACAGCTTCGCATTCTATTTATAGGCTGAATTTCGAGGTTCATGACGTGAACTCATGCTTGTTCACGTCGTGAGTTTGATCCTGGTCATCCCCTAGGCTTACCATGTGTCTTCTAGGCTCAAAAGGTGTCGTTCTGGTAGTTCACGTCGTGAATTTCTATGATTCACGTCGTGAATGCTGTCAGGTCTCGAAGTTTCTGCTCTGAACTTCAAAAATCCATATCTTTTGCATAGGATCTCTGTTTTTAACGTTCTTTATATATGCACGTAGATGAAGTCATTCTTTACAACTTTCATTTAGACTTCGTCGGCTAATTTGGACTTTGATGTTAATATTATATTATTTTAACGGGTCGAGACAGGAAAAGTTTGTTGAATTTCATAACTTCTTCATCCGACGTACGTTATCGTCTGTGTTTTTACCGTTGTACTAGTATTAACGAGACCTTCGATTCTCGTTTAGGTTGTTTCGGCTAAAAGTCATTCGATCTTTATTTAGAGTTTTTAGCTGTCTACTGTTATACCGAAACTTAGAAAAATCATAATTTCCTCATACGAAGTCAGATTTAGTCATTCTTTTTATGAAAGTTCTTAGTTTAATGAATACTACGACTTTAATTTAGATCATAAGGGATGCAAAATAGTTTATCGAAAATTCACTTTTTACGTCATACGACGTCGTGTTGGTTTTGTCGCGAAACTTCAATAAACCATAACTTCCTCGTTATAACTTGGACTTTGATGAGGTTTTCGCCTAATTATTTCTAACGAGATTCTTTACAACTTTCATTAACATTATTTTCACTTATTTCCAACTTCATATTTTCATTAATTTCAATAACTGACACTTGATTGGAATCTCATAAGACTTCCAATACATTTCGAATGATTCTAAACATAGATTTACTTCAGTTCTAGTAAAAACTATCTGTTAGAACTCAATACTCAAATTCATATAATATTTCATAATAGTATTCATTATAAAAACACGATAAGTGAATGTTTATGTTACACATACCTCCTCCTTTTGATGATTTCATCCTTGAAATCACAAAGATTTAAATAATTGGGTATATTTCGCTCTTATCTTACTCTTATTTTCCCAAGTATAATTTAGGTCTCTATGGTGTTTCCACTTGACATGCACCAAGTCCACTTCTTTATTACATAAATTAGTTGTTCTTTCATTTACGATCTTCTTAGGCTCCTCTACATATCTTAACTTACTATCCAGTTCCACCTCGGATAATGGGACTGCTTCATCATATATGCTTAAACATTTGCGCAGATAACTCACATGAAGCACATCATGAATACCTGCCAAATCTTCAGGTAATTCCAAGCGGTATGCTTGTTTACCAATTATTTGGATGATTTTGAAAGGTCCAACAAATATGGGACTCAACTTTCCTTTCTTCCAAAATCGCATAAGGCCTTTCCATGGGGATACCTTTAGCATTACAAAATCACCCACCTGGAATTTTATGGGTCGTCTCCTCTTTTCTGCATAGGACTTCTATCGATCCTGGATCGCTTTTATTCTTTCTTGTACAATTTGAATCTTGTCAGTGCTATCTTGAATCAATTCAGGGCCACTAAGGACTTTCTGTCCTATATCATGCGAACATAATGTAGTATGACATCTACGCTCATATAGTGTTTCATATACCTTTAGTATATTTACTATTGTTTGGATTGTTCTCTTCTTTTGACCATCTGTCTGGGGATGATAAGTTGTGTTGAGAGTGACACGAGATCTCAATTCACATGCATACTTGCCCAAGAATGAGAAATGAAGCTACTATCACGATCGAGAGTAATCTTTAGCGGCATACCATGTTTCGCAACAGTTTCATCCAAATATACCTGTGCGTATTTCTCCATTGGAGTTGTTTCACACATGGTAAGAAAATGTGCATTATTAGTTAGTCGGTCGACAATTACCCAAATGTTATCATTCTGTATAAAAGTCTTTGGTAATTGGAGCAACACTAGACATAAAATCATTTCATAATTCTATTTGCCTATCAGGGGTAATCCATGCAAATCATCGGGGAAATATCAGGATATTTATTATCAACAGGAATGTCATTTATAATTTTCTTCTCCTCTTTTGAGATATCAACTGTATAGACTACATAAGTAGAATACCCCTTTCGATTTAAATTTACAAATTTTAGGAAAAATATTTTCTTTAAGATTTTTAGGTCTTTGTTCACCGTAGACATAAATAGTATCCTTCCCTTTGATAGGGATGCATACCATCCGTCACATTCTGAAACCCAAGGCAGAAACATTCTGGGGTGGAGGTGACTTCATGTTGAATATCATAACCAATGTACATACTAAGCAAAGTAAACAACCATTACATTACATATGAAATTTACAATTGTTTTAAAGTAAAGATGTACAAGTGTTATACATAAACATATATGAACAAAAGTTAAGACGTGTCTTCAATGCACTCCGTCTTCATCAAAAGGATCATCGGGTACATGTCTAATGCGGACCTGAGAATACAAGCATTTTAAAAGCAGCATAAAGCTGGTGAGTTCATAAGCAGTTTTGTTTCCTAAAAGTGCACAGGTTTCCTTTCGATTTCTAAAAAAGTTACGAACCCAAGAAAATCCCATATTTTCTTATATGTAAAGTTTGATTAACTGTTTTGTTACACGATTCTGGTTATGTATAATTGTTATCACATGAAAATCCTATATTTTCCTAAAAGCTGGTTACT